CTCTTCTCATTGCACGTGTGTAACTCGCTATTGGTGCTAATTTATCTTGTGCTTTAAAAAAGAATGTACCCTTCAGCAAAAGAGCGCCGGGGCTGGGCATGGGCTTGGAAATCCCGATTGCGGCTGATGGTCCCACGCTTTCCTTCGCCGGCAAAGAGTTGTCAGTTGTACACTGTGAGTGACTAATAATTTTAGTTGCTGAAAGTATTCATCTCTTCTTCATTATCTCACTGGAGACATTTTTGTTTAGTAATGTAAAGTAACCGGAAGGTAGTATGTTTTTAAAATATCGTTAAGTTAGTAAGTTTGACGTACGGGAGTGTGCGTATTGTGTGCTGTGTTGTGGAGAGTTTATATTCTCCGCAGTAAAGAGAGAAGAAAGCAGAAAGAGGAAAAAGCAAATGTTTCCTTCGGTAACGAACAACTCTGCTGGAGGAAGGTTTCTTCAGAAGAGGGAATAGCGACCTGGCCCATCTCTGGCGGGTGTTTCTGGCGGATGGCGGGGCTGAGTTTGGTCTCCCAGCTGCCCCTGGCCGGAGGAGCGTGGCGCTGGTGGGACTGGCTCGCCCGGGGCCTGGCCACTGGCCTCCGCGGGAGGACGCCGTGACCCGCGGTGGACAGGCACCCCCAGACAGGAAAACTTCACACCGCCAGAAAGGTTACCGCACCCCACTTTATTAAGGTTTGGACCTTGAGCCTGGTTTGAAAACCTCTGGCAAATGATTAACACAGAAATGGCTTTGGTTAAACAACCTGATTTCTGCCGAGTGTGTGACTGCGGCTGCATCTTCTTTTCTCTAAGTCTTTCCATTGTGCCCCCGTGCGTTTCCTTGACTGGAAACAATAAATCTGTCTATACAAACAAATAAAATTAGATTACATATAAATAGTTTCTGAAAGTAGATGGGAATGGAGCTCAGTACCCTTAAACAAATAACACTTTGCCCTCCCAAAAATAAAATTTAAAGTTTTTACAAATTTGGTAGCCCTAAAATTTGAAATTTTTTTCCTCTCTCATCTATGCTTCCTGACTTTTTCATTTATTTAGATAAGAATCATAGTTTATTAGGGTTTTGTTGAGTTTAAAAACATGTCTGCCAATAACTGAACAGTTACTTTTTTATTATTATATTATCTCGGAGTGTAACTTCCCTCCCTTACCTCTTCCTTAGGAAGTGGTTGTTTGTCTTTTGCTACGTATGACTTTATAGGTAAAAGACACGTATTAAACCTCAAGCCAGTGTGTAGTAGCTCTTGCAGGAGCCCTTATGCACTGCAGTCCCTCCTGTTCTCCATGTTTCAGACCAGCAAAATTGTGTTTCACACAAGCAGGGGACTGTCGGTGTCTGGCAGCTCTCCACACAGTTAGTAAATATTGGCCTTATCTGATATAGCCGGGCTTGAAAAGATATGCCAGAAGCCCAGATTAGATTGCTGGCTACTGCTTTATTAATCAATGTAATAATTTATTTTTAGTTTTGTAAGTCATATCATCTGTTTTCTTTCTCAGATTACATTTTCTGTGGTACTGGTACAGAAAATGAGCCCTGTTTAAAAATTAAAGGTGATTGAAAAGTTTCAGTGGAATATGTTTGGCGCTACCATAGTTTCTATGACAGTTGATGAATGTTTCCTTAAAAATGCTTTTGTCAGAAATTCGTACGGTATAAAGAGTTTAATTTTTGTGTCTAAATTAGCTGTCTTCAAAACTCTGCATAGAAAGATGTTTTCATCTTTTTCTGGTTTTAATCATTTTAATAAAATGAAGTTCTCAAGTGACATATTCCTTATTTAAAATCACAGCCTCCCAGCCTATATTTCAATGTTTAAACTGAGATTTTTTAGTATAAGAACAGGAGCTACTGGGCCTAAAACTTGAGAGAAAATAAGGCGACTTACAGTAGCTATAGACTGGCCAGTGATTACTGGTTTTAACAGGGGGGAGGTTGGTTGTTTTTGAGGTAGGTGTTGATTATTATTTTTTTATGTAATTTTCTTTTTTTTGCATATGACACTACAAAGTGGAGAAACAATTTAATTCCTTTTTTCCAAATGGATCGGTAAGCTGGGGGGGATAAGGGGGGGAGGGGGCAACCAAACAAAAAAACAACAACAGAAAACCCCTAAACCACACAACAGAAGAAATTAATAGAGGTGTGGGTTGAAAGGAAGCAAAGCTTTGTAGTCAGAAGGATTTGTCTACCTAGACAGGAATGCTGTGGGGGAGCAAAGAACCAGGTTGGCGTTCTCAAGCCTGGGGCTGCCCTCTCCTCTCTGAGTTCCTGCAGAAGTCCCGGTGGGCAGCCGAGCTGTCCCGGTGCCGGGCGGTGGGCGCGATGGGCACACTGGGCCCGGCAGCACCGGGCTGTGGTGCGCCGTGAACTGTGGGGGCTGCTCCGGGCCACCCCACAGCCCAGAGGGCACGGGGACCTCACCTCTGAATAGGACGTAAGGCTGAGATCTGCCCGGAAGGGCAGGAGGACCCAAAATGTCATCTGTGCTGAACGTGAGCGCTAGTTCCAGTCACGTGGTGGGGAAGGAGCTGGGCGTCGCTGGGCTCGGAGCACAGCTCTGTTGACTTGAGGTTGTAGCGTGCCTTGCTTCAGCATCCGTACCCGATGTCAAGCGGAGCGTTGAGGCAGTGTTTCTGAAAAGGCTGGTTTGCATTAACCAAATACCGTCACGCACAGCTTTGCCGTGGGAGGCAGAAGTAGACTTGAACCCTCAGCTTTCTTATCCGTGTGGTTTCTTTTCCTGCAGCCCCATCGCCATTAGCTTCTATCAGCCGATTTCTTCATCAGAGGAGATGGGGCCATGCAAACAGCAGCTTCCATCGTTACAGTGTTCGTTCCTAGAGCGCCTCTGCACTGAGGAACGCAGACGTGCTTTGTAGAAATTCGGATGAGTGTGTAACTAACGATGCGTGTTTGTAGGGACGTCAAATAAATGTAACTGGGTTGAATTACATTCTGCCATTACTTGGATGTTGAGTGCTGGATTGTGCAACCTTAATATTTTATTATAGCTTTCTGCTCTTTAAAAGAAGGCAAATTAATTAGAAAACACAGAAAAGCCATCATATGGATCATAAACTATCGGTGACAGCCACTTCGGTTGACAGACTAGCTAATGATGGTTGTCAGCCTCTTTGTAGAGTCATAGAAGAGAAGTGTTGCAGCATTTCACAAATATTTTCTGAACGCAAGGGAACGATGTGATGGATTTGAGTTCTTTTCCAAGTTCTGGAAAGAAGTGTTCTTTCCCGGGTGTGCTTTTTTCTTCCCTTTTTCCTCGAGGTTGACTCATTCTATTTCATTCCCATTTCCAGCCTTTCCCGTTGAACCCTTCGCACCACCCCTGTTGGGTTTACTCTTCTCTCCTCCTTCCCACAGCTATTCCAGCACGTTCAAGCTGTTTCTGTGTTCTTGTCTGGTGTTTGCTTTTCTGCTCAGCCCTCTCCGCTCTAGCTTAGACACGGGTCACCTTCTCCCCTAGCGCATCTCAGGCTCTGTTTTTTAGGGGGGTCTACATGTACCTTAGGTCTTCGTGTGCCTGTGCTGTCTCATGTTTTTCCCTAACACAAGTAATTTTCACTTTTCTCTGCCACCTAGTTCCATACTTGTCAGAGCGTGGACTTCGTTGACGTTCATTCTAGTGTGACTTTTATCCCTCTGTATTTGCGTGGTAGGATGCCCACTCCTTGTGCCTGCTTTTATTATCTAACTCCTTCCTGGTACGAGCAAACGCGGCAGCAGAAGTCCTTGGAATGGCCAGACGGATCATTTCTCGCTGGCTCGCTGGGGATGGGGCCCGTGGAGGTTCTGTTCACCAGTAAAGCCTCCCACGTGCTGGAGTCTTTCAGTTTGGGCTGGAATTTTAAGGGTTTTGTGAATGTTGGAGAATTATGGGTTTTTTTTAAAAAAGTGTGACCAAATCTGGTCAGACTTTCTTGGGGAGAGGAAAAGGCGTTTTCCATGCAAAAGCCAGCCCACAGCCGAATGTGAAGCCCACGGTAGGAACCATGGATGTTCTGCCGAGTTTCTGAGTAAAGGCACCAAAGTCTTAAAAAAAAAAAAAAAAAAGAGTGTGTTATTTTCTAACTTTCTCTGGAAAGTGGCTGGAAACCTGTTGGACAAAATCTTCTGTGAAAATGACTTTTAAGTCAAGCATGCAGTATAGAAAATGCGTTTTGAAAGTTAAAACTTTGTGAAAATGAACTGAACAAAATGTGCCTCGTGACGGGGGTGGAGGCAGCCTTCGCCAGGTAACGCGGCAGCTCTCGGCTGGGTTGTTTACAGATGCTGAGTAAAATCAGCCTCTGAACTTGGGCACAACCACTGTTGGTTCAGCGCTTATGATCAGAAGCAGCTCAAAGGTGATTATAATAGTTTGTTTATTGTTCTAACAATGATTTTTATTTTTCTTGTTAAAGAACCAACCCTTCGTTTGTAGATGGCCTATATGTTTATATAGGAAAACCAGATCCTGAAATTAGGAATAGATACTCTTTTCCTAAAATGCCGGGGTGCAATGACATTTATTACTGTAAATATATATCAATATATGGCTTAATTTGCACAGCTTCTTGCATAACAGTATCCCAGTAGGAAACTCGGGGATGATGCTGGAAAGGAAGCTCTTGCAGCACTCGATGCAGACTGCAGGGAACGTGACAGTCATGAAAACAGTATGGAATGAGAGCGTGTTTTAAGAGTCAGTTTTAAAGGCTCGGATAATTGAGCAAGAAACTTGGCTTCAGAGATGCATCAGGGAAGTAATCTTGACCTAGTCGAGTAGGCAGTGAAAAATCCGTACAGCTTTACTTAGGTTTTACAAAATTAAGTGGTTAACTGTTTGAGTCGAGTGAACTTTGTGTGCAGAACTGCACCCTGTTTGAGGATAAGGGCAGTCTGTTTCTTGCAGTTATGAATATTATGTTTGCCAGTGTCCCATGGATCTTAATTAAAAGTATTTTTATGCTTTTTTTTTTTTTCTTTTAGCCCTGGAATAAGATCAGATGTAAGCTCTTCTCCATCCACAACCTCAGCAACGACGGGACCACCTCCCAAGCTTTGTCTTGTCTGCTCTGATGAGGCCTCCGGGTGTCATTATGGTGTTCTTACTTGTGGCAGCTGCAAAGTGTTCTTCAAAAGAGCTGTGGAGGGTAAGATGTGTTCTGATGAACTTGCTGTTTAAAAAATACAAAATCCACATCCATACTCAAAACCCAGTCTATTTAATCTCACTGTAATCCATGTTTGTGCTAGAATCCTACTGGAAGATCCCACCCATTATATCACTGATCTTTTCATAGTAAAAACCATTGATAATGGTGCATTATCTGAAGCATAGATTCCATTTACATTTATAAAATGCTCCCATTCAGTCACAGTGTAAAAGGATCTATTGTTGTCTTGGCTTCTTGTTTCTTTCGTCTTTTGCTGTTGTTTTTGTTTATTTGTCTTATTTATAGACAGATACTTGTCTGTGTGCATTAGATTTGTAAAGTTTGTGATTTTTAAGTTTAATGGTAGCTGTTTTGTGCATGAAATTGTATGTGAAACTTGGTAAATCTGTTGTATGCGAGGTTATGATAGTTTTACAGCTTTTCCTATAAGCAATATTGGTTATATTATGTACACGTCCATGCGTGTTACTTGCAGGGGTAACTAGGTAACAGGAACACGTATGTGGTTTTGGATCATTGAGATTTTTTTCTAATCACAGGAAGAAAATCATTCTGGAAAATAGCGATGATGGAAAACTACATATGACTCTGTAGTGTGTATAGCAGAATAAGTAATCTGAGAATTTTGGGCTGCGTAAGTGGCCATTATGTAATGGACTGGGCTGTAGCTCAGTGTCTGGCTCCTCGCTTCGGTGTCAGAGGGATGCAGAAAATTTAGACTGTGTTCTCAGTGTCTCTGAAAGGATAGGGATTCCTCTATGCTGAAATTTGTTGTTCTTAGTTACAGCCTTACAGGGTTTCCTGTCTCGCGCCTCTTCGTGCAATTACTGGGTATTTTGAAGTGAATTAGACCATCGCTTGTTGCTAATGTTTGTGCAAGTTGGGTTTCACTGGCGAAGAGGGAAGGCTGTTCTGACAAAGACCAGCCGCCATTCTGTCTTTTGGAAGAGGAGCTTTCTCCCAGTTCCCAGCTCACTGCATGCAATAGGGAGCTCCGTGGAAATGCAGAGCCTCTTGGAGGGATCGGAAAAGTCAAGTTCATGTCGTAGTTTTTGCTGGCACAAGGGGAAAGGATGTCAGTTCTGCAGGAAGCTGAAGCTGTTTCTGAAGTCTTACAAGACAGTATGAGCTCAAGTGCAAAGCACTGAGTTGCTCCTGACTCCCAACCGGTCCTGTCTGGAGTTGCACTCCCATTTAGAGCCAGGCTCTTTCTTTGAAGTAAATAATCATCTGTATCTTTGATTAAAATAAGATCACCTGATACGCCTCAGAAGTAGTATTATATGGCATCTGAGTATATGTCATAGTGATGGTTTTGCCCATCCTCGAGCTTAAACAAATCACAAAGGTATTGATATATGAAGAAATCAGCACAGTAATTCCTTTTGATCGGTGACGTGCCTTGGCGCATCTTATATCAACTGTATTAATGGTAAAAATGGAAGCAGGCTTGTAGCTGAAAAATTGCAGTAAATTGCTCAAGGTTTACCTCCGCTTTCATTTTTATTGCTTCAGAGATTATCCCAACTTTAATCCTCCAGATTAGATATTGTGAATGTTTTCAAGAATCTCTTAGTTTTAGTATTCACTTTAAGGAACAAATAATTTGCTTTTGTCTCTTATAGGCATTTTTCTTAGTAGGAACATATGTAAAAAGAATTTGTTTCCGCAATGTGCTTTTTATTAACAGCTGCCGGGCGCCTGTTAGTATACAGACGAAACTGACTGCACATTCGTAATCCATCCTTTAGCCTGAATCCCTTTTTTGTACCTTTGTCTAAACACATGTATACTGTGACAGAAATAGTCACAGAAACTGAAGATATCAATATCAAGAAAATCAATATAAAGCGTATTTCTTTCAGCAAAGAGTAGAACTAGAGGGTAGGGGGAAGGATGACGGTGGGACAGCAGCTGTATACTTACACGCAGTTCTTCATGCAAACAGGGTCCTTTCTTCAGGAACGCAGGATGGCCAAGGCCATCTTGTTGTAGTTCTTATTTCGAGCCCAGAGCCCTCACAGTTGGGTTTCTCCGGTCCCAGAGCCAACCCCATTCACTTCCCAGCATGTCACCCCCCCACCCGCTGCCAACCCAGATCTTCACTACTCCTCCTCACCTCCGCTTCCTCGCCTTGCTTCAGATCCTCACGCCTCCCCTCCACCACATTCCCCAACACCTCTGCCTCCTGCTGTGCTCCAGATTGTCCTTCTTTTTCAGCATTTTTAATTCCCTCGCCCAAAACGCTGCAATTTCTAACCTTTTTGTACACTGGTGAGCTCGAATGAGCAGAGACTCATTCAGTCGAGCCTCAGGCGCCGGCTTGGGCTACGGGTGGTGCGATGTTGAAGCGTCCAGCCACTCTGTAAAATGCTCCTGTCTGCCGTAAATCCCCTTGGAAACATCTCCATTTGCTCACTGCCAGTTGTTACCAGTGTCTTGTTTGTGAAGTGGCTTTGTCTGGTTTTTGAAATACATGCCTTTGTGCAACGGGCATGTCCTCTGGGCGGCAGTCAGACAGGAAGCAGAAGGTGCAATCAACTTCACTTCGCACAAAATGTTCATGTGAAAGGAGAGCTTTAATATAATGTGATACAAAGAAATAGTGCAGCTTTCCCTAAAAAAAAGCAAGAATAGGTAAGGAGTAAATACAACAAATCAAACTACTTTCAAGGAGATAAAGCGCTTTGGTTTTGTTAGGGAAAAAAATGGAACAGCTCAGGGAAATCTACACCTGAAGCATCTGGATCGACTGTGGGAAACCATGGGCTCATTGAGCATCTTTGTGAGACATGCAGTTGGAGTCTCTATTCTGCTACAGTGATGGTGACTAGTCATCATTATATTTCCTGTGTGTACATGTATATTTGTCTGATGCATATTAGTATGCTAATGGTAAACAGAATCTTGGATCTGGTTTCTAAGTTATGTTAAACACAAAGATGACACAAGGGTCAGTGATGCTCCCTCTTCTTTAGATGAAAAAGGTTGGGGGGATTCATTCAAGGGAACCTCCAGGGCTTCCTTGGAATATCAAGGGACTTGAAACCCTTCACTGGAGAAGTTTGACTAAAGCCACAGTAATGGGCTCTGCATACCCGTAATTTTCACAGCTGACTTGAAATAAATTCCTTAACCGTGCTCTTTTTCTGTGAGAGGGCTCTTAAGCTCCGTTGTTAACTCAGTATTTGGAAAATGTGTTTGTTTCTCTCACTATTGTACTATCAGGACTTTGAAATATAGCGTAAAAGCTTGGCTAGGGGCTTTCTACCTTCTAAAGAAATACCTAGTTTTTGATCCCTGTCTGGGAGAAGGGTATATCGTTTAGTAATATCTTTCTCTAAAGTTATCTTGAGACAATTATTCATATAATCCAAATAATTAAGAATAGATATTACTCTTCCGTTGTTCTGCTCTGAATGGCTAAGGAATATAGTTACTTTAATTTATGTAGCTCAAGTTGCCGTATTGCGAGGGTCAGTTTTGCTGTGAATCTGTGAATCCATAAAAGTGTGAGAGAAATTAGTTTGTCCGGTTCAGAGTCTTAAGTTAAACAAGAGGAGGTTTTGTGACTTTGAATATGATGAAAGCTGTGTCTATGTATCCGTAGAAATGCTGACATTTATACTTTCAAAATTTGTTTATGAATGTTATTTACATCCCTTCTGAAACTGTTTAGGGAAATCGGAAGCATGCTATAGAAGGTAGCTTTGAGGAATGTAAGAGAAAAATAGTTTTAAAAATAGAATTTGCCTGATGTTAACGAATAGCAAATAGGATTTCTTCCGAAATTTATTGGCTTTGGTGTCTAAATATGAGAAATCTGTTCGGTGTTTAGATACATGAAATCATATGGATACTGATCTTACTTTTGCAAGAAATGAAGTACAGTAAGTAAAGATATTATATAGCCCCCAGATCCTTAACGTTGCTGAAAGAAATAATGACTTTATCTACTACTCATTGTAGAGCTTATGGTTATTTTGTTTGTCTTTGTGAATACAGGGCAGCACAACTATCTGTGCGCTGGGAGAAACGATTGCATTATTGACAAAATTCGGAGGAAAAACTGTCCAGCGTGCCGCTACCGGAAATGTCTTCAAGCTGGCATGAACCTCGAAGGTAACGTCAGATCTTCAAATCCCTTTTTTATTTTTCAGTCCTAGACAGTAAAGGTCATATGGCTTACGAAGCTAAAGCAATTATTTGAGCAGCACTTTAATATGTTAAAAGTACTGCATTTTATGGCGTGTATGAGCATTTTCATGAAAAGCAAGATTTTTTTAAGGCTAAAATTTTCTTCTATGCTTTCCTATCCGTACTCAGTTGCTCTGGCTCGCAGTATGTTCAGCAGAAGTGAGTCATACACACAAACCAGGGTTATTTTTTATTCCTGTCAGCACATATATCTCGCTGTTTTTTCACTGAATCTGAGACAGCAGAACTCCAGGAGAACTTCTGTAGGGAAGTGTGATGCTGCCCTTCCTCGCTCGGGAGAGTGACCTGACACTGAAACCGCAGATGAGAAGGAAAGCCCAGAAACACAGATCTGAAGTTGGAGTAGGGCCTATATCTTCAAGCTGAAGAAAAGGAAATTATTTTTGTTCATGCTGTGGATTCTTCCTAGATATCTGTCAGATTCTCTCTAGAAAAGATAGGTTAAATATATAAATTTAAGTATACCAGTACATACTTGTTCTCTGCTAGGTCCTGGATGGCTTATGAGAAACTGAAGACCGCATCAACTAGAGATTTAGCAGCAGTTGTAAAATAGCATAAAACATTTTTGTTAGTGTCAGCTACGTTTTATGCTTGATATTTTTTCCTTGAGCTGTAGACATTAATACAGTGCTCGCTAGCATAGTTATGGTGATACTTGTGTAATCAAAATTGTCAGATAAAATAAAAATGTCAAAAAATGTATTTGTCAGATACAAAAATAACAGTTTCATTTCAGTCAGTGGTAATATCCTTTGGTGAAATGTAAGGGGTGAGTTATGTTAGCGATCGATGATGCGCATCATCTACCACAGATTGGAGTCTATGTTAGCGCGTCCTTTCTTCCTCTTCTGCTTCCAGCCTCTCTCAGGAGGACGAATCACCAGTTTTTCTGCCCTGCAGGTGGTTCTGTGCGCCCCTTTCTTCCGAGCAAAGGGGAGAATCCCGCCGGTCCGAGATGCTTGCGCTCCTGTGCCGTGCTTACGAGTGCATCCCCTCCTTCACGGCAGGGGTTTGCAGGGAGGACGGGAGGCTGCTGGTCGGTCTGTTGAGGTGTTACCGTGATCCGTGTGCAGGATGTGAGGGTGCATCTCTTAACAGCCAGAATCTACACTAGTGGGTTCTAAAATAAACCCTTAAAGTGCACGAGGTTGTCAGCGAGTGTCTCCCGGGAGCTAGATTTAGCTTTTAGACGCTCCCACTGGGCTGAACCTTGCAGCTTCAGAGGTAATAGCAGAGCAGTCCTCTCGCCTGCTATTGATGTCCGAGGTGGAAAGAAGCAGTGCCCTGCTGGGGCTGGTGTGGCCAGGAGCAAGTAGAGGGAACAGCAAAGACTAAACAAAGTTTAGAATAATGCAAAAAAACCACAATTTTCATTTTGAGGTGGAAAAGACTGTTTTAAGACTTGTTTCTGTTTTTTCTCTCCGTAGTTTTTTTCAAAATACATATATTCATATAGTTATCTGTATGAATAGAGCACCTTATTATGTATATTACTGCAATAGTAAGCTTTTCCATTCCTGCATCAATTTATGTGAACTCTGTTTAATCTCAGGCGCTCAGACGTGTTCCTTGAGTTGCCTTTCCGCCCCAAAGAAAATTAAAATTGAATGACGCTTGATACTTGCCACTACTCCGCATGGAGTTTGGAGCCCTTCCAACTATAGTTTGTTTGCCTGAATTTTGGCACAGCGAATCCGAGAGAATAGTGACTTTTGGGAGGATGGATATCGTTATATAAGTTGCTGGAAAAGGGGGGGAATCTTAGAAACTCAGCAAGGAAACGGAAGAACCCAGGGTAGTGTGAAGCAGTGAAAAACAGCCATGAAAACAACGATTTATGGAATAGATCAGAACAGATGGTGAATTGGTTGTACAGAAGAACTCCTAGAAAAGAAAACTGGAAGGCAGCTTAAAGCGCTGAAGAGACTGAAGAACAGTTCCTGTTACCTTGGCTATTTTAGAGTCACAGTTCAGGAATTACTCTTGTTTAAAACAGAATTAAATTTGCATACTTTTTAGACAGAAATGTCTTTTTGAAAAGTCATCAGGTGTATCCTTGGTGCATAAATAATGGCTGTAAGCAAATCAGTTACTGAACAGCGAGAGATCAGAATATCCGAGCGTGTGGGTCTGGAGCCCCGCTCACTGGGCCTTACTTGCTGGTGGAGGTCGTGCACGAACCTGCCCGGTCGTGTTTGGGATATCTCTAGGTTTATAATTCCTGCGGTGAATTTCACTGTTAGGTGTTGGGTAGAAGACCAACTTATTTTTAAATAAATAAATAAAATCTACCGTGCAATATTTTAAGGCTTACCTGTTCTTGTGCTGAGACAAAAGGGGCTCCTTCTACTCTCGAAACGTGTTACTCGGTAGTTTTCTATTACAGTCTGTTTTATCATCAGTCAGAACTTTGTCCCTACTTATCACCCTTTTCTGGAACTTTCTTGTTTCTGTTGCATGGATTTGGGGTGTAGGGCACCGGAAAGACATAGAGCTATCAAGCTGCAGGTACCAGAGATTCATACGGTAGAAAAATGCTATTTTGCAGTTCACGCTTTGATCGTTAATTACCCCTAGGCATCCTTTGGCACCCTTTCTCTTTCTGATGTGCTTGAAAAACTGATTTATTGTTATGTTTTATGCCCGTAAAAAATCATCTAATAATTTTTTGGCCTTTCGTGCTGCATTTCATAGTTAAACTGTTGGCAAGTTATGGGTTAGGTTTTTTTTCCTGTTGTCTTCATTTTGAATTCATTTCAGTTGTTTGAAGGGTCTCTTCCTCTTTCTAATAACATCCATTGCGCTGCTCTGTAAGTGCAGCGGTGGGTTTTGCCGTCACTAATCCCAGTTTAGAAGTGAGGAGGGTGGTCTCCTTGTCCCCCCGGCGTGGCGGTGCGGTGGCGCGGGGCGCAGGCCGTCTGGCGCTGGGCAGGGGGGGGCTGCAGCGGGGCCTGCGCGGCTCTGGGATGCCGGACTGCAGCGGGGCTCGGGGGGGTTGGCTGTTTTTAACAGAGGATCTCGGATGCTTTTATTTCCCTGCCGAGTTTACCTGTATGGGTTGTCTTCTGGAATTTGCCCTAAGGAGCTGGTTTTAAATTTGTGGTATTTTTTATATTGGAAAATAAATGGTAAAGAAATACACTATCTCAGCCTTCTTTTTTTGTGAGTTACAACGACATATCTAAGTCAGGTCTAGTAGCACAGCCTCATAAAAATACTTGCATAATCTTATCAGATGCCTTTCTTTTGATTATAATTTTGCCAGACTTTCTGGGCTGGAAACACTCCGTAGCAGGTGTCTGCATTAAGCTGAAGGCACGTGCATGTAAATTTAAGTGAAAGCAGTTCGTTTGCTTTTGAGACCAAGGGTAATGGGGCAAAACCTGCCAGGCTGCTGAAAGGGTTTTGGAGCAGCCATTTCAAAATTTAGAGGAAAATAACAAGAAACTCTTTGCTCCAAGGGAGTGAGTGTTGCTCTTCCCCCGTGGCAGTTCGGCCAGTGTATAAGCCTTTGGGGAGCTGCAGTTGGCAGGAGGTCCCCAGAGAGTTTCCCATCGGTGCCGGTGGTGTCTGAGGCCCCTCTCCCGCCCAGCGGGGAAGGGGCTGCGGAGGGGCATCTTCGGTGGCGTTCAGCAGCTACAGAGGTGGTGCGTTTCTGATCAGAGATTCTGAATAGGGCGGTAGAAACTTTCAACGTGAAACCACGTTACACGATGCTTTTATGTGCTACTGATTTATCTCGGCAGTTCCAGACCAGAAATCAATTAATTAATTGAGACACAGGAAAAGAACCGGGTTTCGTTTTGGTCGCAGTTGATCGTGCGCTCTGCGCGGCAGAGTGCATCCAGGAGAGCCGAAAGCCAAGTAGGAGACGCCATTATTGACAATATGCTAATAAAACTGTTGCTCCAACTTTTTGTAGTTTACAGTTAACATCTCTGTGTGATGTTTTATTTATTTGGCGAATGAGTTTTATGGTTTAATTACGCAGTGATGATTTATATGCAAGAGGGTTGGCAAGGGAAAAGTCGCCTCCTGCCCAGCGTTTTCAAAAAACTGTTTTCCCTGGCTCAAAAGATGGAGTAACTTCTTACCCATTAAATACATTTTTTCCTTTCTTCTGCATGGGTTCTGTACTTAATATTTTAAGGAACTTACAAAATGTGCAGTCCTGCAAATATTTCCAGACAGGTGTCCTGCTGTCACATGAGGTCTCACTGAAATGTGAGTAGTAGAAATCATAGGATCAGGCCTTCTGGTTTAGGATCAGCCGTGTGATGTACCTGCAGACATTATTGAACATTTTGAAACGCTAACGTAAATATGACTTTCATTAAAACGTAAAATAAGCTTATTTTCACAGGAAGTTTAATTGCAGTTAATGTGAAATTCTTTACAGTTTTATGAAAAAATGCTTTAAAAGTTTCAATTGTCTGATCTGCAACTGCAGGAAAAAGAAAGCGGCATTTCCTCTGTTACGTTTTTATTGCTGTGCGGTCACTTTCCGTTATCTAACCTGTGGCTTACCAAAACTTTCCTAGCTCGAAAAACAAAGAAGAAGATAAAAGGAATCCAGCAGACCAGCGCAACGGGAACGCGGGATGGTTCTGAAACGCCTGGAAACAAGAGCATCGTTCCCGCCTCCCTGCCGCAGCTGACCCCGACCCTGGTGTCCCTGCTGGAGGTGATCGAGCCCGAGGTGCTGTACTCGGGCTACGACAGCACCCTGCCCGACTCCAGCTGGCGGATACTCTCCACTCTCAACATGCTGGGAGGGCGGCAAGTGGTGGCTGCGGTCAAGTGGGCTAAGGCAATACCAGGTGAGGAGCAAATACGGGAATTGCAAAGTGCGGTCTTTTTAGTGTACTTCGAATCTGTCTTCACGTTTCATATCCTTCAGAGCCTTCAGAGGGGAGGTTTCAGTAATAGCTGAGCTAATTCGTGTGACAAACTCTTCTGGAGTGGAAAAGCAGAAAAAACATGTGCAAAAATGTATTTACTTGGATTGCAACCTAGGTCATTTTACTTGAACCCTTTGACTATTGAGTGTTAAAATTCATATTCAATTAGAGGTTTGTTTTTAAAAGTAATATATAGAGAACTATTTTTATAAGCTCTAGCGGCACCTCTTAGGTAATTATTTCTTCAGTATTTTTAGCAATGAGATTTTTTTTTTACCTTAATAGACTGGTGCTGCTGTACTGGCTTGTCTGGGTCTGTGTTCATGGATGGTGGTGGTTGGTTTTTTTACTAGCCCTCACCATATCTGTAGGGTTTTGTAACTGGGAATAAGCATTTGAAGGTCCAGTTCCAGGGTAGAAGTCAAGGTGTTCATATTCTCTGAAGCACTGTAGCTGCACGATTGAGCTGACTGTCACCGGGGGAATGAGGAAGGTTCGTTGCTGGTTTGGCTCCCACCTGAAGACACAGTTACCCACTGCCTGACAGTAGAAGTGATGTCAAATGTCAGCCTTGGACATGACACGTAGTCTGGGAGAGGCCAGAGCCGAAAGTAAAGCTGAAGATGTGTTTATTCCTGACAGAACAAAGACTAGTGGTTTTTTCCCTTTCGTTTGCAGTCAGTACCGTTAGCTACCTGTTCTGAAAAACCCTAGCAGGAACACCTCCATAACGCGTATGTTGCCCAAGAATAACATCACATAACAGGTCTGCCGAAAAAGAAGTCTGGTAATGAAATTTATGAGTCATAATGGTGTCTCCTTTGAGGCAGGAGAAAGAAATTAACAGTAGGAAAGAAAGACTAAACTCAAATACATATGTCCAGCAGAGAAGTGAATAGAGTTCTGTGTGTCTATCAGGGCTTTTCCACAGTGGGGCATTGCGCTGAATTAGCCGAGGTCTGCGTTAGGAGGAGTTCACATGCGCACACCCTCTTCAGGGACAAGGCTTTAGGAGACCATCTGGTATTCACAAAGACAAATTTAGATGCTATTTTTATAAAATAGTTCTGTGTTCATAATCTCTTCTGAACAGTTTCCCTAATTAGACAAACCCTCCAGGTTAGAACTTGGGCTCGTAATGAAAATGCCAATCTTCTCTTTAATAATTATATTAATAGGAACTATTTTAATCAGGTTTTTATCTTCTTTTTTTTTTGGTTGCTAAGGTGGTTCTTCACGAGTATTTAATTTGTATGTGCTTTGACTGGTTGTACACCATCAGATGTTCTAACAGAGTACGCCAGCATTGGTTGCCAAACCCTTTAGTTGGGATTTCAAAATAACCTTTTCCTGAGGAGGGTTTGAGCAAAGATTTCAAGATTTGACCCACTAAGTTTGAAATAACTTACTTTTTGAAGTATAGTAACTGGTAGTTACTGCTGTCTCCAAAGCTGGAAACTGTTTGAAGTTGTCAGACATACCAGGTTTTGGTGTGTATTAGTCTACTGAATGCTCTCTGTTTGCACATCTTCGGGAAGCAGCACTGGTATGAGCTCTTTAGATGTCAGATGCTTAATAAAATCAAATAAAATCAACTTGAATTCAGACTTTAATAATGATTCAATATGGCACAATATTTTCTCGCTAAATGTAGGCAGGATCTAATAGGAACTAGTGTTGCAAATTAGCAGCTGCCTACATTTTAAGACTGAGACCAATTTTCAGATTTTACACATTTCCACATTGTTTAATTGGCTCTGTTCATGCTGCATATTCTTAGAAGATTAGAAGCAGTTAATGATGGTAACTAATGCAATACATATTTTGTAAGTTCAGTCTACAGCTGTTGTTGAATAAGAAAAAATTTGACATTAAACCATTTATTGTCTAATGGACTGCTCTCATGAAAAGTAAAAATTACTGTTATTTTTTGAAGTTAGCTCAATGAATTCTAGTGTATACTAAATATAATTGTTGTCTTTTGTAATCTAACTGACCATCAGTTCCAGATAAGCACATGCATATATTTTGATTTTATTTTTTTTTTAATGTTACGTCCCCGTTTAGTACCCGCAGTACCTGTCGCTTCTTGTTCAGCTGGTACTCTCCCCGTCCAGACCATAATAACATCCTGGCTGTCGGCCCACGGCTCTTGGTGCACTTGGGCTTTTGTAGATTGAGTGCTGAAAATGTATTTTGAAATGTATATTTGTAAGTGTGAACATCATGTGTAATGCAAAGTTCAAGAGTTACCCTTCCTGTTGCTCCCTCTTGCCAATTTTTTCTGTTACATGTGTGTTGTGTGGTTGGCAGTTCCACATCGAAACCAGCTCGAGGCTGAGTTACACTGGAGCTTTCCGTTCAAACCTTTCAAGTCTTGGATGTAGTCATAATGTCCAGAAGCTGTAAGCGGAGTCCCACGGTTATGAACACTTCATTCTACATATGCAAAATTTTGAATAGCCAAAGGATTCCTTAATGATACACTGAGAATTTGAATGTAGCTTTAGTAGCTGGAAAATGGTATTGAAATTTTGCATCCATTTTAAGGTGCATTTTTTTCATCCAGCAAGAACTTACTCACGAGAAACCTCTTATTGTTCTAATTACTGGTTTTCTTCTACCAAAACTTTAATCTAAAATACTTGACTGAATCAGATGATTGTAATAGGACAAGAAATGTTGTTATTTCAGGTACAGTCATTACAATTAGAGAAACTGTTATCAAATACGCTTCTAAAGTGGTAATCTGCGTTGGTAATACAGAAGTTGTATGGATGACAACCATGGTCCTTTTCCAAGTTATGGGAGGTTGTCTGTCTTTTTTTTGCAACCAGTAATGTCACACCTCAATTTTTATTTTTCCAGGTTTCCGAAATTTACATCTGGATGACCAAATGACCCTTCTGCAGTACTCATGGATGTTCCTAATGGCTTTTGCCTTAGGATGGAGATCATACAAACAATCCAATGGAAATCTCCTGTGCTTTGCACCAGACCTGATCATTAACGAGTAAGTAAGGCATTTTCCCGGTTTCAGGGCGCTGTTAGACTCCAGGCAGTGTTTCTGGGGTTTGCACTGGAGAGGTGCGTCACTGGGTAGCAAGTTCTTGCAGAGATCACAAACCAGTCTGTCATTTGCCACTTTTTAGCAGCTTTCTTAGAGGTTTTGAATAAGTCAAATGGAAGAAAGGTGTTTTAGATATTAAGTGTATTTATATCAAGAAGGTTTTGTGGGAGGTGTTTGTACTAAAATGTTCCATATTGTAGCTGCTCCTGTACCATTCATTATAATCATTCATTTTATCAGAGCCAACACTGTTGAAACTAAAAATACGTCTAGGATGGAGAGAAAAGTTTGGCAAATTGCATAATGTTCTGTATGTTTATTATATAAAAGTGATAGTGTGGTGGTACCAGTTCCACTGGGTTCTGGATCAGTTAAACATTTATATCTGAGCCTGATTAAAATCTGGCCAAAAAGACAAGGTTACAAATGGAAAAACTGAAGTCTGATTTCTTTGTCGTTGTTGTTGAACTTTGTTATCAGTTTTCAAGAAAAATCAAATTTGCTAGAATGTTTGGCCATCTCTTTTCTTGCACCGTGCGTCATTTTCCTTGTATTTTTCAACCTCGTGCTGTGCGGTAGTTGTGTGTGGTAGAGGAGTGGAGGAGGGAAGTCAGGATCGTTGAGGCGATGAGCAGAAGGCTCAATTTGAGATGCAGCGGGGATAAACATGTTGTGCAGAAATACGCATAGTTATACTACTTTCCATAGACTGTTTCAAAGGTGGAATAGCAGATCAGGTTAAGTTATCCCTTTCTGCCTCCAGTCTGGAGAGCAAATACTCCGTCTCAAAGCCTCTCCTGTAGGGATGCACTGGAGAATCAGTCCCGATGGACTGTCGTGCTCTCCTGCCTTTTACTTTGAAGCCATTGCAGCGATTGTGTCCTTCAGCTTATATTTCTAAAAGCCACTTCTTCAAACAAGTGGAAGAGTGTCTGCGTAGCCTGTAACGAACTCTTCAAGTGATCTTTGTCTTGCAATTCCGGAGATGATAGCCATATTCATAAAGCCTGTCGAGGCATTTTGTCTGTGTTCTGAATTAGTTGCTGAAAATATTCTGTAGATGTAAATCTTTGAGATTGCTGGCCAGAGCCATTCCAAACCTAGTTTACCCATCTACAGATTCCAATTAATACAATGCAATCACTATGGATTTGCCATTTCTTTTTTCATGAAATGGCATAGCCCATTTGTGGGGACTAAAGCTAATAAATACAATTACACAGGGCCTTTGACACATACAATCACAAAACTTTTTTAGCATCACAGTTTCACTGACAGTAGTTTAAAAAGTGATGCAAGTGACAAGGTTTTATTCCTGTCTCTGTTTTCCTGTCTTTAAAATGGAGGCAACACTAATCCCTTTGGCATGCTTTTGAGACAGTAGTCTTTTTTTGTTCGTATTGCATTTCAGTATCAGATCTCCCAAATCTTTTCTCTGTTGGAAAAAGTATATTAATTGTTACATTTTCTATGGGATTAGCCATTTACATTTCAGACTATTTCTTTTTCATGTTTATTTATCCCCTTTATTTTTTTCAGTGTAAATATTTGTCCATGCCTTTATAAACTGTAGTAATTTCTTTATAGTAATAATTTTTAAAAAAAAGGTGAGGAGCAGATGATGGGTGAGCACCCATCTGTTTACTTATGGTTATTAGTTCTTAGAGTATGTCTCTGGAGTAAATAGTCTCCATGTGGTGGAATTGAAATAATTGGTGTTGTCATGGATAAGCGTAATAACATCTAATTTGCTGTAAGTCAGAGGTCTCCTGCTGTTTTATCAGTGGGTCAAAACCACAGAGCTTTACAGCTAATTATGTGTCGATAGTCTTAAAAAAACCTGCAAGGGTAATCCTATTATACTAAATATTAATTCTCAAATTCATTCTAGTTACAGTTTTGGTACATAAATTGTTTATCAAAATGACATTTGTTTTCAATAAAATTTGTAGACTGAGAGAACTGCAATTTCTTCTCCAGTGTGCTACAAGTTCCCCATAAAACTCTCTCTGGTCGTAACTTTTTGTCTGCCATTCATCAATAAAATACAGCCACCCCTGAGTTAAACATGACAAATACTGAATAATACATAAAAGCACTGCATGAGTTATAAGAAGCTTGTGAAGCGCAGTACCGCGGGGGAAGCCAGAAGGGCAGTGCCACTGGGGAAACTGTGCTGGTGCTGGAACGTTGGGTGGGACAAGAGACGTCATGGACGTGAAGGAAGAAATGCACCTAGATTTTAATGGTCAGGTGTGTCCACTCTCTCTGCTTGATACATCACTCGAAGGACAGTACTGCAGTACATAATAACCCCTAAAAACTGGTTTGGGGGTTATTCAGTGCTACTGTCTCGTACGCATCTTAGTGATCCTTCACCCAAACAACCCCATCCCACCTCTCACCCACACCCCCCAAAACTCTTGCTTAATCTTTTAGTTATGCTACAACAGGTCCAAGGTAGAGGAATAAGCATCCTCTAAAAGTCAGAACAACGCTGTCATTTGATAATTCTAAAAACAATTGTAATATTTCATAATATTACAGTGAATTCTCTGGAATAATAGAAAAAACGTGATTTTTCCTCATGAGTTTTAAAGCTTGATTCCACTAAATGCAGTCACCCATAGGTGTTTGTGTGTGTACCGGAGTCAGAACCTGCTTTTTGGTTGTCTAGGATCGTGGTCATTTTTACAGTTAACTGAAGCTGTCTGCATCAGGTTTTTGGCTTCCTGTTCAGTAGTTTCAAATTTCTGCATGCAGATAAAGAGGTAGAAGTTGTTCAAACTTGCAGTTTTTGAGATCTGCAAATGACATTTCTGCAGACCTGTTCTTTACGTGAACATTTTTCATTTGTAACTAAGAATTTGTTCTGGCTTCGTATCTGTTAATTGCAGTTTCAAAGCATTATTTCAGTGGAGGACTGGAACAAAATTACATGTCTTTACCCATACTGTGTTAGAATACAATAATTCCATGAGGTCTTGCGTCTCCTCAAGCATTTAGATTGATGATGTACTGGTTTTTCTTAAATAGAAGTATAAACAGGTTGAGGAGTTGGCAAAAACTTCCACGCCTCACGAGCCCTCCAGGCAGACCTGTATCATTTCAGCCTTACAGAATAGTGGCGAACGTTCATGTGGATGGGTCTTCAGTTCTGTTGTGTAATTTGAGCTTATGCGTCAAAATTGTATGTATCCCATTATGCTATAAGTGATAAACATCTCATTATGCATATGGAATTACACATATTCAGTTAGTATGATTTTTAAAATGTATTTAGCCTGCTTTTGACGAAAAGAAATCCATTCATTTTACTTAGAAAGAGTTGACCCTCGGAAGGATCATGAGAAAAGTACAGATGTTACTACGTACAATGTAAATCAAGAAATGCAACAGACAGGCATCTTACAGTCACGTTATTTCTGTACATTCCTTTATCTTCATTACAGCAATAAACTAGAGTTGGTCTGAAGCCACTGCCTTTGTGCCACCATTACCCGTAGCTTGCCACAGCATAACACGGGTGACTGTTCAGGGACGCGAACGCAGGATAAGAGCAGTGGCAAAGGCAGTAACACTTTGTCTGCTGCGGCGAGCTCAGGGTGCATAGCTGATGTCCCCGGGGCAGGGGGAGTACCACACAACACCAGAAGAGACAGTGCCTTCCGCTGCGTTAGCTCTATTGCACAGATAAGTGCCATTACTTCTATCTTCATTTTCTTGGGGTTTTATGTGGGTTTCTAGAAACCATTTATTTCATTCAGTTTCTGAGCTTTAAAGACTTGTCCTCGTATTTGGTACAATTCAGTGTCTTTTGGCTTCAGGAAGAGAGACTATCTTTGAAGGGTTCTCCGAGCCTCGGTGATTGAAATAGATATAACTGCAGAATATTTTTTTAAGACCAAATTCTTTATGGAGATAATAAGAGTTTCTTTAGTGACATGTATCTGCTCAAGCAGCTGAGCAACATCAGTCTTTCATGCATTTATCCTTGCACCAGCCCTGCCCAGTATTATTCCTATGTAGTTACTGCTTACTTACACGGAGTAGGAAGATCCAGTGGCTCATGTCGACACCTCGCAGGCAACTACGTGTAACTGAGCTGTACGTAAAGAACCTGTCCAGCCTGTTCAGACGTTTGTCATGCTTCATTTTCAGCTAGCAGGTCCTTAGAATTTATAAATGTCTTACTGGGAATGCACAAAAAGCTTCCCAGAAATAGTAATTTGTTTTGCTTAGTGCTCAGGTAGCTTTTGCTGCAGTAGTGCTGAATGCCACTGTTCATTAGTACCATTGTAGAGTCCTCCATAATTGAATTTTCCGAGTATCATCGATGCAGACTGTGGCGGGAAAGAGGATTAAACTCTGTTCTTCTTAAGTCTTAAGCTGGCAGCCTAGTCAGTTGACCAGTCTTCTCCTAAAAATTGAGTATTTATTGAATATTCCATTTTTATGTCTGTATTCCTATCATTTATTGGGGGGGACACAAAAACAAAGAAAACCATCCAATGTATTTGAATAATGTTTATCACATATTGGATATCCTAAGTTAATATGTCTGATAGGGTTCGGTAGGGTTGCTGTGGTATGAAAATAAAGTATTTCATAGCATCACAGAATGGTTTGGGTTGGAAAAGGGACCCTGAAGACCATCCAGTGCCACCCCCTGCCCTGGGCAGGGCCACCTCCCCCCAGCCCAGGTTGCTCCAAGCCCCGTCCAACCTGGCCTTGAACACCTCCAGGGATGGGGCAGCCACAGCTTCTCGGGGCAACCTGCCCCAGGGGCTCACCACTCTCACGGTCATGAATTTCTTCCTTCTAAATCTCCCCTCTTCCAGTTTGAAGCCATTCCCCCTCGTCCTGTCACTCCATGCCCTTGTAAAAAGTCCCTCTCCAGCCTTCTTGTAGGTGCCCTTCAGATACTGGAAAGCTGCTATAAGGTCTTTCCAGAGTCTTCTCTTCTCCAGGCTATTTCCCATAGCATTTGTTGAGTGCAAAAAGGTTCACCATCGGCATCCATAGCATTGCTTTCACCTCATACACTTATGCTGCATCTGTACAATTAAACCTTTGTTTGTCGACAAAACCCAAAAAGGAGTGATGAGTTTCTGCAGGTCCCGCTGTCATTTCTGCAAGAGTACACATCACTTCATTCTTCCTGCCTCCGACTTCTCTGAACTCCCAGCTATTCCAGTTGATCCAGGTCTGGAAATGAAAGCCTCTCTCTCCCTCGGAGGAGCCAGCGGGTGGGAGCTGGAGCTGGGGCACCCCGAGCAGTGCTGCCGATGCGCCCCACCGAGTTCACGGTGGTGCCTTGGCCAGTTCCTGCCTGAGCCTCCAGGGAGGGAACAGCACTGAGGGCTCAGCGCTGAAGAGCGGGCGCTGGCAAACCTGGGCAGGGAAACGGAACACTGAGTGCGCCCTTACGGCCGATAATCTGTTGGACGGCAATTGCTGCCCCGTCCTGCTTCCACTTCAAGCTATGGAAGAGCTCCGCTGCATTGCGTGGGCACACCTTACTCCTCCAGCGTGGAGAACTCGTGTTTCCTTCCCCAGCTAATTCTCTGCGCAGGGGAAAACTGCAGGGCAGGTATGGACAGGTTCTCGTCTCCAGAGGGGGGGTGGAGGGAGAGGAGAGCCTTCATCAAGGGAGGGGCAGCAGTGTATTTTAAGTTATTTTACGGCTTGGGAAAATATTTTGGATTTACATTTTCCATACTTTGTTTCTGAATATAAGTAATATACTTTAGTGGATTAGTGTGTGACTGTTCAGTAAGATCATCATTTAATGTTTCAAAAAAAGAAAAACCATTTTTTCATGGAGGTATGTCTATAGCAGCTGGCAATTTTAAATATGTATTTAATACACACACGCACACACAACTCAGTTAAAAGTTTGGCAGCTTCATAAATCTTGGTCTTTACACCATCATTTAGTATTTGGAAATTGTATGAACCTGTGATTTTGTAGTATTGTATAACTGTTTCCACAGTTTGTGATTCGAAACATGCTTTTGTTGGAACTGGCACTATTGCTGCATCGGCTTGAGGACTCCAGTTATGTCACAGCGTGAGCAACAGTAATGCACAGCTGTGCTCACCAAGTAGCAAATGCCATTTAATTGTTGCCTAGCTTTAGAAAGAAGTTCTTGGAAGTCCCGTGTGTTAGGATTTTGACTCTGTTTGCATGCTTACCATCTTAGCTCTTTGCTCTTCTTAGGTTTGAGGTCAACTCCTTGGTCTCATTTGTCCTTATGTTGTCATATGTCATAAAGAATGTCAGCACTGATGTTATTTGGGTAGAAAATAACAAGTGATTACAGTTTTATAAGCAATGTTTTATCAGTTCTCTTATTCCCAGAATTTTTTCCGAACATTCTTTTGTAACTAATTCTGTGGAGTCATTATCATCTGTTTTCCAGAATACTAGCATCTTGTTTACTGATTTGTATTCTTTTATAGACTTAGCTGAACTGAATGACTCACAGCAGTGTTGAAGATCGTCGCATGCTCTTATCATCAACATGCGTCCCACACAGCATGCGTATGCACATCCCGTGCACATTACATGGGCTTTCACTGAGCTGAATCTTAGGGCTACTGCCCGACTCACGTGAGGCAGCTGGTTACAAAAGCGGAGGAATATTGGATACTTACAGAACAAGGAGGGGATTCAAATCGGACTAGATTTACAACCACTAAAGAAGGATCACTTCAAAAGTAATAAAATGCCATTAGTCAGCTCAGTCCCAGTGTGACAATAACCGCAAAGGCACTGGACTGCTGCGGTGCGCCCTGGTGCTCCCCGGCCGCGGCGCTGGCTCTGCCTCCCTTCGTGGGGCGCAGGCGGCTGCCAGACCGTACTGCTTCCATGTGATACCAGCCCTGGTGAGCACCAGAGCTGTTCCTAAAGGCTGCACGACGTCAGTATGGTTCTGCAGACAGCTTCTGCTAAGGAGAAACCCTGTGTGATGTCATCGCTAAGTATAGTATCTATTTTCATTAGCTAAGCGTAGCGCCTAGGTTAAGCGTTATATCTGGTTTATGTGTGGGTAAATTAATTCGTAACGTTGCTAAATGCCCTCTCTGGGGAGGGGTACCGGTGAAACCAAGCGGGGAGAGAGGAAGGAGCCCCGCAGCCCTGCTCTTCGCTGGGTCTTTGGTCCGTGACTCGACCCGGATCCTCGGGCAGCCTCCCTGCGCGCTGAGATCATCTGATGCACTCTGGCCAGGAGATCTGCGGGGGGAGTGTCTGGGACCTCTTCCCAGACCCTTCGCCAGCGTTAAGGACTGCGCGGTGAATCAGCTTCCCTGTTGTTCTGACACAGCCTGGACCCGCTGCCCTCCAGGGCATAGTGCAGCGCTCATCTGTGCGCTCCGGCGTCTCTGACGGGAGCGGGGCTGTGTTTTACTCTCATTTTTTTGAGAACTGCGATTTGCATAGCCTTGCTATTACCACAAATCCACACGTCTTCATATAGATTCTCAGCCTTGTAGTGATGGTTGCGTTCACAGCAGATAGAAATAAATGACAGGCTGACCCATTTCATAATGTTTATTTTAACCTTCTGCCCAGAAGTGGTAATAGTTTTACATGAGGAAAACTGCTGAGCCCTGTCATACAATGTGTTTAAATTGCTCAATTTGAAATATGTGAGATGCCCTTTGATACAACCCAGAGGGGTTAGGAGAGAATTTGCCAAACGGCCAAATAGTGGCTTTGTGTCAAGTGCCCTGAGAAACATCCTACGACTGACCATCTTACGCTTACTCCTGTTTCGTGCAGCTTGCCTCGTGTGCGCGTTCTATTCCCACTGTTGCTCCTTGATTATCGAAGGCTGCCATAGTGCCAGTGTTTCTAGGTTCGCGTGTGTGCACGCGTGCATATAGCTGGAGGTACCACTAAGGCAGTGCCACGCGTAGTCCTGTTACACGCAGAAGGAATTGCCCAACAGCCTGCGTGTGGAAATGGCGGGGTTCAGGCTTGTGCTTGATTTGCTTTTAATGCAGCTTCAACAGTTTGTGTTTCTTTCTGTCTTTCAAAACCCATCTGAATTCCCATTGTTCTTGGGGTTTTGCACCTTGAGAAAGGTGTGTGTTTCTCCTTGTTCTCACGTAGGGTTTCTCAGGATGCTTGTGAGGGTACGTTATATAATTCTCTTGCAGGGCTGTGGCAGGGAGAACTGAAAAATGGTAGCAGCTTTGGAGGGATTGGTGTTGTTCCATAACCAAATCTTACTCTTGACTTACACTGGGATTCAATTCTGTCTGTGTCTTTGTTTAGATTGTAATACTGAATAGGCAATGTCTTGGAAAAGGTGACACATCATTAACGCAAAATAAATTGCTAGCATCGCTGTAGGGAGATTGTGTAGTCATTACATTTGAAACGTACTATTTTACCTATCTTTTTCTCTACAGAAGTTTACATGGAAAAGCATAAGTCTCCCTTACACTTTCCAGAATTAATCTCTTGTTCATTTCCCACCCAAAAACTGTAATCCTGCCCTATTCACAGTAACCAACTATAAAAGCGCACATATAAAGAGGATTGTTGCGTCAGGTGAGGCGCTACAGAAAAGGAGGAGTTCCTGTCTTGATGCAGGGTTTCATTAAAATAGAAAAAATGAAAAGAATAGATAAATACATAATGTCTGTCATTGTGATTCTACGTAAGTGCTTTCCCATATTTTCCTTTGGTTGTCAACATGTCTTTCCATTTATGGTTAGAAACCTTATTATTACAGTGCAAAGGTAATGAAATCTAATTGCAATACTAAGCGTCCCTTTAAGAACGTAAAAGGATACGAGAAGCATAGAGTCACTTTGAAAATTGAGAAGTTAGGGAAAGTTGATGCTATCACCAGTGGGCAAATAATGTATTCAATTTAGGTGGACTTCTCCAAAGTCTTGAAAGAATTGGAGAAATCTCATCTCTAGTGTAGTACACCATCATGTTTCTTTATACAGATTAAATACTTTGGGATTGCCAGACTTCAAGAACTTTGTCTCACAATGACTGAACTTGACTTTTATGTGAAGTTTGTGCTGAACTGTTGTGTTGGCTGTTGATAACAGAGCTCAGTGATCAGCCCTTGGTAAAGACAGGCTTCCTTTATAACGCTGGGATTGCATGCCTCATGCTCCAGTTCTAGGCCGGTGGTTATATGTGGTGGCCGAGGCAATCGCCCTGAATGGGTTCACTGGAGAAAAAACAAACATAATTTTGCTGTGAGATAGATCACATACTTATCATCTGCCTCTACAAGCCCCGCTGCTCTTGAATGAAGCATGGAAAAACTTAGATTTAGAACTTTTAGGTATCTAGGCATTTAACTAACTTTTATGCTCTTATTTCTCAGGCAGAGGATGAATCTACCGTGTATGTATGAACAGTGCAAGCATATGCTTATGGTCGCTCGAGAGCTATCGCGGCTTCAAGTCTCATATGAAGAGTATCTCTGCATGAAGACCTTGCTTCTCCTCTCTACAAGTAGGTGAATAGTTAAATACCGATGTGAACAATGTAAGTTTAACTTGCCCATATTATGGGTGTGCATGTGTAGTTTAAAATTCTGTTAGGTGTCTGATAGCAAATAAAAGTCAAAATGTGCTTCTTGGCACCTGACTGTATAGGGTTAGTGAAGGAAGTTCTGCTTTTAGCAGATACAAGACATTCATGCTAAGATGTTATGGATTGCATTCAAAACTTTGCAACTCCAACAGAGAGGCCTAACTCAGAATTGCAATTTAAAATTCTTCAAAAAATATATAAATCGTTGAGATTTCTATACTCGTTGAGTAGTTCAGGACCCAAAGAAATGAGCAAACTTATAACTTCATGCCCATAAAATACTTGAAACTCAACCAACCAAAAAAATCCCCAAAACCATCACCACCTGTGAAGAAGTTCCAATCCAGTGAAGTAGTTTTCCCCCCAAAAGGTTATCAAACTCCTCCAGAATTTATTTAAAAATTGTTAAATACAAATACAGCTTTTTGCATCTGCATCTACAAGGTATATGGTGGATTTATGATAGGTATCGCAAGATAGATTTATATTACATGGAATATATAATAAATGATGGTGTTCATGGCTTTCAATAGGATATGCTGTAGTTAAGTCACAGCTCAGTAAACTTCTGTTGTCTGTACTGCATGGAAGGGTAAAGTACAGTGTCAAAACAGTCCTGTTAGAGTATGCAGACATACACTAATATGAGACATGGCGTGAATAACTTTTACAATGTTATTTTCCCCCCGTATTCATACTCAGCGGTACCCAGTGAGCTTTTCCTCTTGGTGCGCAGCAGGGCTGCAGCCCCCCGCGGGGGTCGCCGTAACCCTGCCTCCGTTGCAGCCCAGGGCCTCGCAGCAGTACGGAGCCCCTGTGCGTGTGTGCCAGACACCTCGCCTGGCACCGCGCTCCGTCCCGGAGCCATCCCGTCCCACGGCCATCACACCAACACCCACAGTCCCACGGGACTCGGAGCTGCATCGCGGGCAGCAACCGTAGTTTTCCTGCAGCCTTTGCTGCTTCTGCTTGACAGAAGGTTATTTTTGTTGTAGTGCAGTGACGGGTATGCCAGGACGCTTTCACAGTGTCAGAGCAACCATGCAAGTAAAGGTTTTTCAGCATAGTACTTCTTCGTGATGAAAAGTAAATATTTTTAAAAGTTTAAACAGTTCATTACACTGAGGGTTCAAACGTTCCTTATCTTCAATATTTCCAGTGAACAATAGCGTTAATTCTCGTAAACAGATGGGAACTTGGTAGCTTTGGGCTGTTCCCAGAATGAAAGCGGGAGGATCTCGTAAGCCGGCGCCGTAGGCACAGGGAAGCGGTGGGTGCGGGCAGGAGAGGTGTCGGGCGCAGTGCGCTGCCGTCGCAGCTCCTCCCCGGGCGGGCTGACGGGGACCAGCGCAGCCTCGCCTGCCGACCCACGACGGGGACAAGGGCTCTTTTCAGAGGAAACTCAGCTCCACGCGGCCGTGGGCTTCGTAGGAACTTGAAACTTCCCCGAGATTGCAGATTTAAAGCAGTTTCTGAAATCTCTCCCGAAAATTCCTCAAGTGTTTTGGATGTGGTGCAGGCCAACTTTCCTTACAGGAATTGGAAATTTCCTTAAGGGAATTTCCATGGCAGAAATGGGGAAGAGACTACACTCGTAGAATTAAGCCCATTCAGAAGTGGAGTACGGCAAGCACTGGCGTTAACCAGCAGAGGCCTCTTTGTTATATTTACAGTGAAAGACAATATATTTTCACATTTCTTTTTGAGTACGTACATTGTGTAAGTGGTACATTGTGGAACTTCTGAAAATTGAATAGCTGAAATTTGTATAGCTTTTTAATCCACGACTTCACGATTTTAATTTATGTTTATTGTGTTTCTGTGTAAGTTTTCCAAGAGAAGAGGCAGAAGAGAAGGAGAAACAGGAATCCCACGCACTCTAGACACGTAGCTCACACAGAGATGTAGCTCACAGACCTTTTCTATTTAAATTATTCAAGCAGCAGTTGACATGTTGTCATCTCCTGTGTCGACAAGGCAGATAAGAGGCTTCACTCTGACATCTCACAGATGCTGACAGTGTAGTGAGGGTTGGATTTGTGAAGGAAGGAGTGTGCTTTAGTGGCCTCTTTCCTCCTCTCTTGCTTTCAGTCGGCTTTGTCTCAGCTCTCTCTTTTCTCTCTCTTCAGCTCTTTCCATTCACTTCACCAAGGTAATCAAAGACGTCAAGTCAAACATCTTAAGGACCACTGGAGTGTGGTCAACCTATGCTTGATTTGTTCCAATTTATTTACTAGTCCTTGGCCTCTGGAAGGACCATCCTAGTAGGAGAATGTAGGCACAGGGGCTGAACATGGAATTGAGTTTAACCCAGGGCTCGTCAGCCGGCCGGCGCTCTCTCGGCACCCCATCCCTATTCCAAGAAGCTCTGCTGAGACCCGAGTCCTCCCTGGCTCGGGCAGTCAGTTTGTTGTCCAGTCTCTGTTACTGCCTTGCCTGGACATGTCATTTGATCCACATCAGCAGGGTTGGAACTAGATGATCTTTCAAGGTCCCTTCTGAGCCAGGCCATCCTGTGATCCTATCCTTGGTCTTCTTTTGGCACACAGAATTTTTATGGAATCTTTCCAATGTCACGTTTCCCCACAGACTGAGAACACAGGCGCTCCAGCCCTGCTGGTTCTTCGTCAAGGCGCTTCCCGGGCTTAGTGTTGTTGCCTCCATGGTCCGGTTCCCTTTCCTCTATTTCTTGTTGGGTTACCTTTGGGGTTTTTGTTTTGTTTTGGTTTTTTTTTTTTTTGCCAGCAGTCCTATGCTATTTGTTTAGTGAGTCATCCGTCTCGCTTTCCGCTCTCTTTTGTTGTCTCTCAGCTGTCATTTCATTAAGTCCTTTCTCTTTTGGTCATTTTTGTGCAACTGATGTAAGAGAACTTAAATAATGATGCAGCTCATAGATGTATAATGTCTTAAAGGTTTGTATCAATGTTGCAGTTCCTAAGGAAGGCCTGAAGAGTCAATCTCTGTTTGAAGAAATCCGTATGACATACATTAAAGAGCTGGGAAAGGCCATAGTGAAGAGAGAAGGGAACTCAAGCCAGAACTGGCAGCGATTTTATCAACTGACTAAACTGTTGGACTCTATGCATGATGTAAGTTCTGAGACAAATGCTGTAGGCGTTCCAGATACATGTTTGGGGATATGGCAGTAATCTCCTCTATCCCTTTTTTTAATTTAAGGTGATAAATATCAGGGGCAGGGGGGAGGCGCTCATGCTGCGCTATGGCTACCTGGCAACTAATGGGAAGAGGTGAACATGTTGCTCTCAGACTGCTTTTGCAGTGGACTCCACAGCAATTAATGACGAACTATTCAAGAATCTATGGAATTGCTTAAAATCGTGTTAACATAATGCATCAGTACTATTTTTAGTATTAGTGGTCTCATTCTGCAAGGAATTTCAGAATTTCAGGCTGTCTCCTTTTGCGGTATGTACTCTGTGCGTAGGGTACAAAGCAGTGCAGCGGCGTCTAAGCTGGATGAGGTGAGGGAAACTTGGAGACCTCAACGTTTATTTTTTTTCTTGTTAGTGTACCGAGCACCTGGAAAGATCTTACTAAGCTTATCCATATCTATGTTTGTTATATGCTAGAATGGGAATTGATACGTGATCTCTTCAGTATTTGTGAAGATCTTGCACAATCGTCCACTGGGTTTATATCAGAATGCCGGTTACAAGGCTTGCTAATTAAATGAGGATAGCTATGCACGTCTGGCCTGCGCTGCCAGAAGTCAGGAAGAAGGAAGGATGTCGGTTAATAGTTCTTCCGTATGTGTTCGTGTGAAAGTAATTCTTTGCTTTGTCGCTTGTAGGTGGTTGAAAATCTTCTGAGCTTTTGCTTCCAGACATTTTTGGATAAATCCATGAGTATTGAGTTCCCAGAAATGTTGGCAGAAATCATCAGCAATCAGATACCAAAATATTCAAATGGAAATATCAAGAAGCTCTTGTTTCATCAAAAGTGACTGCCTTAATACAAAAGGGTTGCCTTAAGAAAACGTCAAATGATAGCTTTTTTTTTGTAAAGAAAAAACCTACAGAACTTGTTAATTTTGTCCTTGCAGCGGTGTTTCTTTTGTAATTATGCACTACATGTGGTTTACAGAGGGCCAAGATTTAGGCTATAGAAGCAGCGGATTTCTCACATTTGGTAAATAATTGGGGAGAAAGGAAAGGAAAGGAAATCTTATTTGTCAGAAATTATATCTCTCCCCTCGTGCAACATCCATGGATGCATCAAAACCACCGGTGACAAGATCTGAGGCTGTGTTACGAACATTCTGCTAATTAATTTCTGCAGTTGGCTGGAGACAATTTTCTAGGCTTTTTTTTTTTAGTAAAGTGTTTTGGATTTTTTTTTTTTTAAAGTTAAGGTAGCATTTTGGTTTATGCATGTAACCTGAAGAAAGTTTACAAGTGTATATCAGAAAAGGGAAGTTGTGCCTTTTATAGCTATTACTGTCTGGTTTTAGCAATTTCCTTTAACTTTATATACCGTGAACTAGGCTTGTTCATTTTTTCTTACATAATTTTTTTGTAATACTTCAAGATGCCTATTGTACAGCTGGTTTTTTAAGGTGGGGCAGCTCGTAGCTTTCCTAAATGACCTCTAGACATTAATCCTTGAGTATATTCATGTGAAAATGGGTTGGGCTTTTCTAACCTAATAGCTTTCAACTGTCAAAGTGACCATAAAAATTTGGCATTTTTTAAGGGCCAGGGTGGGTGGGAGAACACTCTCAAATCTCATTTAAATAGATGCGAATGAAACAAATACTTTTGGTATACGTGCAAAAGTGTTGGATATGCAGATTCATAGAAAATTAACCTAGTCCTAACTGGATGTAAATGAGCAGGTTATTTTATATATTGAAAAAAACAAGCCTGATTTTTGCATATAATGCAACAGCCATAACTATGAGAGTCATGGGCTGCATTGATGCCAAGAAGATCAGTCCTGACTGCCCATCAGGAAATTTTCAGGAAAATATGCATAGCTTAAGAAAAGTTTACTTCTGTGTGGAGAAACTCACATTTTCTATACACTCAAATCTATCGTCATACAAGTATCTATGGAGAAATACCATTGACTTGAGAGGCAGGCGTGTAATTTTGCCCAGTGGTTTGGGTTTGTTCTGTTTCCTCGTATCGATCCTAGAAATCCTTTCTGCAGTGAGATGTTTACCGTCATGCAGGCAGCAGAGCAGCTGCGCTGGCTGACCGTGACTCCGGATATACAGACTCCAAACTCGTGCGGTTAGAGACCCATTTTCACGTCTCCACCTGTCACCGACTGGTTCATCCCCTTTCCTGGACAGCAGCAAAGCTCCGCTACTGATTTCGTGGTCTTAGAGTCGTACGTCAAACTTTCTGTCTTTGTAAGGCTGCATCCCTTCATACCGACTTACTAGCGTGCCATAAAATTACCATAGGTCCTGTGAATTTCTCCTTGTTGCCATTGATAACTATATTTTAAAACGTTTAGAAGCTGTAGTAGCCTTTTTCTACGTGCACCTTAACGATTTTCTGTATCTCAAAATTTAAATATTTACTAAGCCACTCTAAAATTTGATTTTTACTCAAAGTGGCCAGATTATTTGTGTAATAGAAATGAGAAAGATCATCTGATGAAATACAAAACCTAATATATTTTTATATTTAGTTATAGTTTCAAATATGTATAATCGGTATATTCGCTGATCTGAGAAAAGAAGGGAAGGGCTACTGCAGCTTTAAAAGCAATTTATTAAATGATTGTAAAATAGCTTGTATAGTGTATAATAAGGATGATTTTTAGATGACAGATTGCTTTATCATGATACATGTAATTATATTTTTTGTAGGGGTCACAAATGTGCTGAATGGTAACCTGTACGAGTTGTGGTTTGTCTGGAGGTAGTACTGAGGGCATCGGTGTTCAGTATCCAAAGAAGCGCTGGGTTTGGAAAGGAAAGCCTGTGTTCAGCGGATGGCTTCGGGGTTGATTTTATATTTATCGAATCACTGTGTAAAACTTCAAGCGGGAGCTTGGATGGAATACTCCTATCTGTATGGTCGGTTACCATTCACGATTCATTGCTAAATCAGACCTCCGCTGCAAAAAATGTAAGCCGGCAAGACGCGTGTGTGCACATGCATACCTACACCTCCGAACACGCGGGGGTAATTTCATATACAGCCTCACATACCACAGCAAAAACAGCTCGAAAAATTTGGCAATAATACGCATACAGGTACCAGCAATATGTAAATATAGCGCGTAGGTTGTTCACAATACACTAGTACGTTTCTATTGTTCAGCAGAAGTTTGTTTCCGAGTGGAAGAGGAAACTAAATTTTCATCCTTTCTTAAATCTCTTTTTGAATGTTATACCTATTAAAAAAAGATACTATATTCAGTACTTTGGCGTAAAATATCATCTTTAATAAAAAAAAAAGTAATCATTCTCTTCTCTTTGATCTATAAAGAATATGGACATTTTCTAACACTTCAGGTAAAGTTCAGTATTTTAATGACAACTTCCAAGCCAACGCAATGAAAATATTCCCGCAACCCGTTTGAGATACAGATAGGAGTTTCATACTGGGTGGGTTCGGGTGGGCTCTTCACTTTAAAGGAAAACTGTTCGTTCTTTAGAGAATTGTTTGTAAAAATTGCATCCCCAGATACCTCAATTTGGGTTTGCGCGAAGGAGTGAGCGTGTGTGGGTGTGAGCGCGTGTGCAGTTGTATACACAAAGATGCAAAACTTTCTTTTTTTGCCAGCAGAAAAGAAACTATAGTGAACACGAACAAATGACCGCCACCTTGAGAGACGCGATAGCGTAGGAGAGGCGAGGCTCTCTGCCCCCTTTTTGTCCATATGCCTGTATATTAATTCTTAGTTTAAGGATTTAAGAAAAAAAAAAAACAAGGAAGCTGTGATGTTAGAAGAAAGCAATTGTCCTGTGTGTGCTGTTAAGTTTTAAACTTCACAATGAAAACTACGTAGTGCTTTAGTAAGCAGTGAGAAGTCCGTGTTCTGTGTCTCCGTAGTCCTTGTAGCAGTGGGTAGTATCTGCACTCTGGATAAAGCAGGGAGAATTCTGACTCCGTCTCTTCAGTGCCTTATCACAAAGTGCATGCATCCGAGCGAGGGACGGCCGCCGCCGGCAGCTCAGGACACGCGCGTGCTGCGGGGTGGGACTTGCACACGCCAAGCGCCAGGAATGGCCTCAGCTGGAGCAGCCGGGGAGCGGGATGGAGAGGAGCCGCTGCGGACCCGCCCAGCTTTCACAGAAAAAGGTAGAAAACAGGAGGAAGTGCCTGGATGAGCGTCAGCGAAATCCTGTTTCCCGTAGCCGAACTTCAGCGAGTGAGGACTTCAGGGTCATACCTTAGCGTGGGATTTTTAAAAGACTGTGTGTGTATATATCCTAGTTGAGCTCGGTCCTTAGTCCAGCCCGCAACCAGGTGTTGCTGAGCCATCGATGTCACATAGGAACCAAATTTTCAGGAAAGGCTTAGGGCCTCTCTAAACCACGAGAGGCGCTCATTTTCTGATGAAAGGCTGTGTGTATGAAAATATCCCCCACCTCCAAACTAACTCGCCTAACAGCATAGAGTCAGCGATGTGTCATTATTCTATTTTGTATATTAAACAAAAGATATATACTGGGGACAAATCCTATATCATACCGGTGTATGGCATTATTAAAAAAAAAATCATTATTTTTATCACAGTAATTTTAAACAGCATAAAAAAATTAAACCAGTGACTCCTGTTTAAAAATAAAAGTTGTAGTTTTTTATTCATGCTGAATAATTCTGTAGTAACAAGTCTGTAGTTTTCACCTACTCAGTGAAATGTTGGACTGTAAAAGCTTGTGTGGAATTGTTGAACATTTATTTTTTCATTTAAATTTGCTGTTCTGGTAATACAAAGCCACACATCTGTACAGAAGTTGCAGTAAATGTGAGCCATTTACAGCAATGCCGAATAATGGACGGAAACCATATAATAAAATTCTGCTTTTTTCATTAAATGGCTCCAAAATGCTTTTGTAGAGTTGTTGCTGTGTACCCGGAAAGGATCGGTTCTGACAGCTCAGTCAGTTCATTTATGTTGTTTTATTTACTCACCTCATATGCAAAAATTATTTAGACTAAAGCTAATTGCTGCCGTAATTAAGTTCTGGAGTGGGAGAATTTCTGATAATTAAGTTCAGATTAACAATTTAATTGGAAATCATTACTAGCATATCCCAAACCTGGCCGGATTTGCCATTGCATTCATATCGTCCATTTTCCGGGGGGGAATCCATACCAGTTTTCTAATCAGATGAAGAGCGGGTCTGTGCGTCTGAGCGAGCGCAGTTGTGCGCACACCAGACGGATAGCCATAGAGCTGCCAGGACAGTGAAACTAAGAAAAACACCACAAAGTGTATTTAGAAAAAAAATATACAGAATTGACTTAAAATTAATTTAGTTATTGCAGTCCTTGTTAACCATTTGATACTTGTCAGGCCGCTGACAAAAGCCGCCGGCTGAGGCAGGTGCCGGATGCCCGCAGGCGGTGATGGGAGGCAAACGGCACGCGGCACGGCGTAGGGGCGTGCGGGTTGTGCAGCCGCATGTTTGCCCCGCGCCTCTGCCCTCGTACCTTTTGGGGCGGAATTTCAACCTGTGGAGCGGCCGAAACTTGCACTGATTGCAGTAACGGGAGGACGGCGGCGCGGTGGGGTGGGCGGCCGGTGGCGGGGGGTTAGGGTTAGGGTTAGGGTTAGGGTTAGGGTC